TTCAAGAATAAGTCAAATAAATCGTCACATAGAGCATAACGAAAAGATTAAAGTACAATGGAAAATGAACAATTGCTTTTGTATATTGGAGCTTGATTTACAACTTGAAAACAGAAAGGAATCGTTGACTACCTTTACGCATAAAATCTCAATTAGGCTTAAGTGCTAAACGATAACGTGCTCGTCTTAATTATCAGGGTTTGGTTGTATAAAGCTCTTACTTACTTTTTAACTGCATTTTTTTCTGTTAAAAATTAGTTAAATTTAACCACGTGGTTAAGTCGGTTGTATAAAAAAGTAATTAGCGCTAACTGCAGCTAAAAGGTAGGTAATGTTAACTATCCTATGGAGCATAGTTAACTTTTGAAAACACAGTTAAATTTGGCTGCTTAGCTTTAAAAATGATGGGAACGTGCATGAACAGGCCCTATGTGTTCACATCGAACTCATGCGCTTTTGTACAAATTCGTCGCATAAAAGCCAGTTATTGTCTGCATCTCTTCATTGCATCACAAACGTTCGGTAGAGTGACAAGAAAGAACCTACTAAGATGGAAAGTTGTCTGCGAAGATTGCTTAAAGTCTTTTACGACAAAGATAAATCTAACTTGCCACCAGAAATCTGCTCATATCTTAAAGAGATTCTCCTGTCATGTTAGCAGTGAATCATTTGCATGGAAACACGAATTATGCCGTCACGAAAGGAAACATGAAGAAGATGCTGCTGTTCGTCCGTGTGATAATTGTTCGAAAAGATTTAATCTAAGGACATGCTAAACAACCTATGATTTACTGTCGAACAAATACACGTAAAAGAAAGCCATTCGATTCTGATGGAATCCACTAACCCAAGGAAAAACCAGTAGACAGTTCAAACCGGCAAATTTAAATTGAACCCACCTGTTAAGGAGGAGAATGTTGACCATTGCAACGCAGATGAATCGGCTTTTAATAACAAGTTAAAGAGCATTGAATTAAAACAGAAGAAGAATCAAAAGCATGATAAGTCAAAATCTCTTCTTGGTAAAACAAAACTAATTCTACATCAGCTGACAAAAGAAGTTGAAGCAAATAACGGCGAAAAATCGTTCATCGACGTCAGTGTAAAATTTACAAAATGCAAACCAAATGGAGAAGACAAATTCACCGAACCACACTTTCGCAGTCGCTGCATGACAACGGTTGATTCTCACGAACTTGAAAAGTGACGTTTTCAAACAATTCCACTCCGGGGTAATTTAAAAGTAACCCAATTTTGTTGCTTTTAGCGCCGTTTTCAGATAAATCCGGAGCAGTGTTAACGTAATCTAAATACAAAAGTTGCTCAACGATAATTTGTTACGCCTAGTTTAGACAGATTTTTTTCAAGGAATTCGAAAACAGAAACGTGGAAGGATGCGCTGGAATGAGACCACCAAAGAAAGATGATTGCGAACAAACGTGAACAAACCAAAAAATTTAAGACATTTACCATTAAAACGCAAATGATATTACTTCATTGTGTTACAACGAACGGATCGGCTGACATTTCTGTTAGAAATGATTAACTAAAAAATTTTCACTTTCATATGATGATCGATGTAACTGAAGGTGTTTCGTCTAAATCAATGTCTAATTTGATGAAATTTTATGTGTACTTCAGGTGATTTTCAAAGTTTGATAACTGACCATATAACATAAGAAAGAGCTATTACAAATTTAGAAATCTGTGATTTGAACAAACGTAACTTTCACCAGTTGAAACCCGATGTTTGTTTGACAAATGTGACGTTTCAAACGTGAACAAACCAAAAAATTTAAGACATTTACCATTAAAACGCAAATGATAATACTTCATTGTGTTACAACAAACGGATCGGCTAACATTTCTGTTAGAAATGATTAACTAAAAAATTTTCACTTTTATATGATGATCAATGTAACTGAAGGTGTTTCGTCTAAATCAATGTCTACTTTGATGAAATTTTATGTGTACGTCTCTCAAAAGATGTTTGTGTAGACGTTTCTTTGATGTTCTTTAACGCAATTGAGAATTCCCTGGTCTATTTGCGCTGTGTAAAACCTTAAAAAATGAAATTAACTTTTGACACCATTGATGATCATGACAATTTCCTTAATAATTCAATGTTTAAATAATTGCTTAACTCCAAACAGTCAAGTGAACGAATGATTTTTCAAAATGAATAAATAACGAAAACCAGAGATCTAATGAAAAATATGCAATGATTAGGTCGATTTTTCGTTACATGTATTCGCAAAAGTCTATTCATAAGGAAATAACACAAATTGCGGGGTGAATTTTCATTTATTAATAATTGACTTTATGAGAGAAATAGGATATATATTCCACGACATAAATATTTTAATCTTCTTTATTTGGTTGTCAAATAACCATTTGTTGCTGCAACTTTTGAGGCGCGATTAAAAGGCGATCTAATCCAATCAGTTTATTTGTGAAACGTCATGGTTCAGAATTGACACCGAAGCTTCATTAACTGCACTTATATTCTTTTTTTTAACGTTTTATTTAAACAGCTCTCAGAAAGATTACTCTAAGAAGTTTTGTTAAATTTAAATGCATATTCATCACAGTTATTAAACTAAGTAATCGGCAATTCTCTCCCAAATGGCATTCTGAACAGATTTTTTCTTCTCATCGTATGGATTTTGAGTAGCTATCACAACTTTTAAAGGTGCTAAGACATTTTGCTAAAAAAATACAACATTGCAACTTGATATATTTGAAGTGAAACAATCTCGACAAGGTAGTCAAAAACGTGTTTCTTTTAGGCTTTACTGTCTCATCAGTCGAGGAAGAAAAGAACCACAATCAACGATTCACAAAAGAGGAAGCCGAACTTATTAAATTCATGAAAAACCTAAAACTGGAATATCCCAAGAAGATTGGTGAGTTTTTCATCATTTTTGATGTTTAAAAATGACGAAATTATCGAGTACGGATAATAGTGGGTTATAGAGGTAGTTATAACCTTTTCCAAATTCTTTTTTAGCCGACAATTTCAAAACATAAATGATAAAACGCGCTCAAAAAACATCATCTTGTAAACTAAAGATTCGAGCTATATCAGCAAGAGACAAGATTTAAAGCAATATTTCGACTTTATTTCAAAGTCATTATCAAGCCAAGTGATTATTTATAAACATGTGTGATCTTAATTGCAATTTAAGGAATTAGGAAAGAAGTTCATAGCGATAAGAAGTTCATAGGAAAGTTCAGAACAACATTTTAAATTACCACACATTGCCTTATTATAAAATAGGTACGCTTTGTGTGCATTTATCTGCGCTCACGTGTAATGGGTTGATGTTCCAGAATTAACTATTTAGTTTTTTACAGTTTATGTAAATTTATTAACTTGAGATTTTCTTCGATGAACTTATTTGAACCTCACTTTAAGTTTTAAAATGTGTGTTATATGTTTGGCTTAAATAACAACTTACAAGACGTTTTAAAACCATTGCCAGCCGATAATTTTATAAAATATAAAACGAAAAAACTCAGTTTATAATACATGTACAATGACATGATGAGGAAGTTAGGTTTTTATAATAACCTACCACACATGTAAATTAACCTAACTTCCTGATGATGTCATCGCTCATGTATCATAAATTGGAGAAAATCTTAGCTCAAAATCACTGTATCTTATTTTGCGCCTTCTTCTATGTCATACAATGAGCTAAAGATGGAAATTATCTTCGGAGTTTGTTTCAATTAAGTGTTTTTCTGCAGAGATGTATGATTTCTCGTATCAGAATATGCTATGAAGATATATAACTTCGATTATGTCGGATATTTTCTATTTGATATTGCTTTCTTCAATACATTTGGTAGCCAGTAATAACAAATTCAATGATTACTGAAAAATCATCTAAATATAGAACTTACGCATTTGAGAATTATGTTTTCCGAAAAACGCAAACAATGTTTAGGCTTGTTTCAAACGTCGGATTTAATTCAGACGAATTTCATTTGCTGTTTAATTCGTCGTTAAGTTATGTTGAGTGTTGTTCATTTCAAACACGTCGAGTTTAATTATGACAAGTTGTAAGCAGTAAAGTTTACTGAGTAAACATAAGGCGACAAGCGCGCGTAATGGCGCGATCATTTAATAAATGGATTCATAATATCAGGACGGTGATTCTTTTTAAAAAAGAGAAAGTAAGAGAGAGAAAGAAGAAAATTGATTAAGCCGCTATTGCTTTCTCGCATTGCGAAGAAAATGTCTGGCTCGTGTTCTTTCGACGGTATTTTTGTTGTTAGCAATTTTGGAAAACTAAAGGGAAATATTCCAGGCACACAAAATACGTTGGTATTGCGTGGTTTTGGCACAATTTGTGCAAGACATAGCACTTATAAATAACACAACCAAACTTGGTTTCGCGTGAATAATTTCCTTTCTAAAAGCATCACGCATGCCTAGTAGGTGTCAGTTGGAAAAACAGTGACTGCTCTTTCAGAATTACATTTTAGCATAATTTATGCATTTAATTCAATGCGACAGTACATCGTCGTTTGAAAGGAGAACGTGCGCTAGACGTTGTATCCGGCTAGCGTAGACGGATACAACGTCTTTGACGAAAATAATTAACATCTTTAAAATTAAATTTGTCTTAATTAAATTCGATAGTGGTTCGACGTTTAAAAGAGGCCCAACTGTCTACGACGTTACTGTCGGAACAACGAATTTATGCTGATGCTACTGTTACCGATTGTTTTTACATTCTCGCATATAAGATCCTTGCCATTCAGTCAATTTATATTTTGGATTGATCAAAAATCAAATGTACCTATGCGCGCGTTGAAGAAACCATCTTGTTTTGAAACTACTCAAGCCTGCAACAGGTGGGAAAAGTCAATGTTAATGTCATGCGTGACTCGTCATTGGATAGCAATATACCTGCGCCAGCGCAGATACAAAAATTCAGGTAACTGCAGCCTTACCGTTTTCAAAAACACTTCGAGCAGTTATTGCTATCTTTCATGCTCTTCATATTAAGCTGTTTTTTGTTTTTACCAACATATTTGAATTTCTTATTAAAAGAATTCTATTTCATTAACTAAATTTTAGAGACTTCTTAACTAACTTTTAGAGACTAGCTTCCAGCAAATCTTGCTGACGGAGAAGAACAAGGGAACAAGGCTGTTGTTCATCAAATTCGCCATGGATGATAAAAGAAGGGAATGAGTTGAAGACTCGTTATGATATATCGTACAAATACATCAACATGAATTTAGGAACGTCTATGTCTTTGTTGTGAGTATTGACTAGTATTTATATATGTCTGTATGTAATGTCTCATAGATTACATATAAAGATTCAAGACTCATTCTCACTAAATACAAGTGAATTAAATCCCAGCACAAGGATAACTCAAAGTCTACGAAGCAAGAAAACAAAATGAGAATAATGAAGCGAAATAGCAATGCAACATCAGAAGAAATGTTTTATATACAATAATATAGACAAGGAGATGTTTTATATACAATAATGGATTTATTTATTCAAGAATAAGTCAAAGTAAATCGTCACATAGAGCATAATGAAAGATTAAACTACGATGAAACATGAACAATTGCTTATGTATATTGGGGCTTTATTTGCAACTTGAAGACAGAAAGGAATCATTGACTACTTTTATGCATAAAATCCCAATTAAGCTTAAGTGCTAAAGGATAACGTGCTCGTCTTAATTATCAGGGCTCGGTTGTATAAAGCTCTTAACTACTTTTTAACTACACTTTTTGCAGTTGAAAAGTAGTTAAATTTAACCATGTGGTTAGGTCAGTTCTATAAAAAGTAATTAGTGCTAACTGCAGTTAAAAGGTAGGTAATGTTAACTATCCTATGGAGCATAGCTAACTTTTGAAAACACAGTTAAATTTGGCTGCTTAGCTTTGAACATGATGGGAACGTGCATGAACAGGCCCTATGTGTTCACATCTAACTCATGCGCTTTTGTACAACTTCGTCGCATAAAAGCCAGTTATTGTCTGCATCTCTTCATTGCATCACAAACGTTCGGTAGAGTGACAAGAAAGAACCGACTAAGATGGAATTTTTCTGCAAAGAATGCTCAAAGTCTTTTACGACAAAGATAAGTCTAACTTGCCATCAGAAATCTGCTCATATCTTAAAGAGATTCTCCTGTCATGTTTGCAGTTAATCATTTCCAGAGATACCAACAATCAAAGCAGAGAAAGATACAAGACATATGTTATCCCAAAAAGAAAACAAAATGCCTAAGATACAAACACATAAAGACAATAGCGCTCTGCAAGGAGAAATAGAACAGCTGAGTAGGAACTAAAGGACACAAGGAGAGTCGTCGAGAAATGAAACGAATATTGATTAATCGATGCTTATAAACAATAATGGTTTTAATTATTCAAGAATAAGTCAAATTAATTCATCACATAGAGCATAACGAAAGATTGCGCTTTTACTGACCATAAAGCTAATGATTGAATATAAAGATTCAAGACACATTTTCACTAAATAGAAATGAATTAAATCCCTGCCCAAGGATAACTCAAAGTCTACGAAGCAAGACAACAATATAAGAATAATGAAGCGAAATAGCAATACTACATGAGAAGACGTTCCAGAGATACTAACAATCAAAGCTGAGACAGATATAAACATATGTTATCCCAACAAGACAACAAAATGCCTAAGAAACAAGCCACATAAACACAATAGTGCTCTGCAAGGAGAAACAGAAAAGCTGAGTAGGAAATAAAGGACACAAGAAAAATCGTTGAGAAATGAAACGAATATTGATTAATCGATGTTTTATAAACAATAATGGTTTTAGTTATTCAAGAATAAGTCAAATTAATTCATCACATAGAGCATAACGAAAGATTGCGCTTTTACTGACCATAAAGCTAATGATTGAATATAAAGATTCAAGACACATTTTCACTAAATAGAAATGAATTAAATCCCTGCCCAAGGATAACTCAAAGTCTACGAAGCAAGACAACAATATAAGAATAATGAAGCGAAATAGCAATACTACATGAGAAGACGTTCCAGAGATACTAACAATCAAAGCTGAGACAGATATAAACATATGTTATCCCAACAAGACAACAAAATGCCTAAGAAACAAGCCACATAAACACAATAGTGCTTTGCAAGGAGAAACAGAAAAGCTGAGTAGGAAATAAAGGACACAAGAAAAATCGTTGAGAAATGAAACGAATATTGATTAATCGATGTTTTATAAACAATAATGGTTTTAGTTATTCAAGAATAAGTCAAATTAATTCATCACATAGAGCATAACGAAAGATTGCGATTTTACTGACCATAAAGCTAATGATTGAATATAAAGATTCAAGACACATTTTCACTAAATAGAAATGAATTAAATCCCTGCCCAAGGATAACTCAAAGTCTACGAAGCAAGACAACAATATAAGAATAATGAAGCGAAATAGCAATACAACATGAGAAGACGTTCCAGAGATACCAACAATCAAAGCTGAGACAGATATAAGACATATGTTATCCCAACAAGAAAACTAAGTGCCTAAGAAACAAGCGACTTAAAGACAATATTGCACTGCAGTGAGAAATACAACAGCTGAGTAGGAACTAAAGGACACAAGGAGAATCGTCGAAAAATGATACGAATATTGATTAATCGATGTTTTATATACAATAATGATTTTAATTATTCAAGAATAAGTCAAAGTAAATCATCATATAGAGCATAACAAAAGTTAAATTACAATAAAACATGAATTGCTTTTGTATATTGGAGCTTGATTTACAACTTGAAGACAGAATGGAGTCGTTGACTACCTTTATGCATAAAATCTCAATGAAGCTTAAGTGCTAAAGGATAACGTGCTCGTCTTAATTATCAGGGTTCGGTTATATAAAGCTCTTAACCACTTTTTAACTACATTTTTTTTTGTTAAAAATTAGTTAAATTTAACCACGTGGTTAAGTCGGTTGTATAAAAAAGTAATTAGTGCTAACTGCACCTAAAAGGTAGGTAATGTTAACTATCCTATGGAGCATAGCTAACTTTTGAAAACACAGTTATATTTGGCTGCTTACCTTTGAACATGATGGGAACGTGCATGAACAGGCCCTGCGTGTTCCTATCTAACTCATGCGCTTTTGTACAACTTCGTCGCATAAAAGCCAGTTACTGTCTGCATCTCTTCATTGCATCACAAACGTTCGGTAGAGTGACAAGAAAGAACCGACTAAGATGGAATTTTTTTGCAAGGAATGCTCAAAGTCTTTTACGACAAAGATAAATCTAACTTGCCATCAGAAGTCTGCTCATATGTTAAAGAGATTCTCCTGTCATGTTTGCAAGTGAATCATTTGCACGGAAACATGATTTATGCCGTCACGAAAGGAAACATGAAGAAGATGCTGCTGTTCATCCGTGTGATAATTGTTCGAAAAGGTTTAATCGTAAGGACATGCTAAAGCAACATATGATTTACTGTTGAACAAATACTCGTAAAAGAAAGTCATGCGATTCTGATGATAGTACTAACCCAAGGAAAAAGCAGTAGACAGTTCAAACCGGCAAAGGCAAATTAAACCCACCTGTTAAAGAGGAGATTGTTGACTATTGCAACGCAATGTTAAAAGACTATATTTCTTGAGGCATGAATAATGATTTTTACAAACATTTACGTTAGAGCGTGGGTCGCGTTCATTAAGTCTTCAAAAAGTAACAATTTCATTGACTGTTGGAAATTATAAAGCATTGTATACTATTATATCCATTCGCGTTCAACTGGTTCAACGGTTAACACTTTAACGTGGGCGAACTGAATTTGTTGTGACTGTTAGTTGAACTGCGTGTCTGGATGTAATAAGTAGCTTATCAAAAACAAATATCTTAGTTTGTGTTTACAAGGTTGCCTTCTAGTTGTGTACAATGCCATATTCCGTTCAATGAACGAACTCATTGATATGACATCATGTAATCATTTATCATTAAAGGTCTTCAAGGAAAAGAAATCTCAAGGTGAAAAGAGAGCACCCAAACAAATATAAAAAAATGTACTAATAGAAGAAAGCGTAAAAACGAGAAGTAGAATGTGACGAAAAATTAAAACGTTTTTATTCAGTTTATAATGATAAACAAAACAGTTTCAATGTTCAATGTCGAATTAAATTTGGTGAACCTCTATTCTTTTTCGTGCAGGAGAAAAGCGGAAATGTATTCACCAAAAAAACGTATTCGGATATGCTAAAAATTAACTGGTACTGGAATTTTTGACTATCATTCACTTTTAAGTGTTAAATAAACAATTTAAGTCGTTGAGCAGCGTGCCATGAAAGTGATTCTAAAATCCTAAAATAATGATCCGGTGCTGAAATTTCAGCATGCTTAATTGCGAACATAGTATTTATGTCGACGAAAACAAAATAACGACAAATGGCAATCATGCTTCGGATGAGCTTTAAGACAATTTTTAATAATTTAAAATTCATATTTCGAATTCATTCAATGTATATGTTACAATAAAAAATGGTCTTCTTTTTTTATTTGCTTATTTAGTTAAACATGAACTTTTTATTTTAGTGTGTTTCATATTATTCTACTTAATATTGCTGGCTGGTGATTGATTTTGGTGTTATGTACGTTGCTACCTTTCTATAGTCTTGGCTTCTGTTGCTTATTTATAGCAAAGATTCTAGCTGTAAAGATTCTAGTGTTGGAAGCTTGGTATCGAATCGATTACCTCATGCCAACATTCTTAATGTCCAAATATGTTGAATTTTATGTCAAGTTGCAATGCTGTATTTTTTTAGCAAAATGTCGTAGCACCTTTAAAAGTTGTGATACCTACTCAAAATCCATACGATGAGAAGAAAAAATCTGTTTAGAATGCCATTTGGAAGAGAATCGCCAATTAAGTAGTTAAATAACTGTGTCGAATATGCATTTAAATTTAACAAAAGTTCTGAGAGCAACCCTTTTGAGAGCTGTTTTAATAAAACGTTGAAAAAAGAATATAAGTGCAGAAGATAAAGCTTCGGTATCAATTCTGAACCATGACGTTTCACAAATAGACTGATTGAATTAGATCGCTTTTTAATTAAGGCCTCAAAAGTTGCAGCAACAAATAGTTATTTGACAACTAAATAAAGAAGATCAAAATATTCATGTCGTGGAATATATCCTATTTCTGTCATAAAGTCAATTATTAATAAATGAAAATTCACCCGGGACGTTGTGTTATTTCCTTATGAATAGACTTTTGCGATTACATGTAACAAAAAAATCGACCTAATCATTGCATATTTTTCATTAGATATCTGCTTTTCGTTACTTATTCATTTTGAACGATCATTTGTTCGCTTGACTGTTTGGTGTTAAGCAATTATTTAAACATCGAATTATTAAGGAAATTGTTACGATCATCAATGGTGTCAAACATTAATTTGATTTTTTAAGGTTTTACACAGCGCAAATAGACCAGGGAATTCTCAATTACGTTAAAGAACATCAGAGAAACGTCTACAACAACATGTTTTGGGAAAACTTGGAGAAGAAAAGGTAGTGCACTGGAGCTTACTTTTTAAACGGGGATTAGCTCATTGATATTGTTTGTCTGAGGTATTTTTTTAGATTGTCGAAGGAAGATCATGACGGAAGGAACCGCAATCACAATTACCAAAAAATGCAATAATTATAGAAAAGTGACACACGGAGAAATTACTGGAACTTCCAGTGGAAAACCAAGCTATACCAATAAGTTTAGTTATTTTAGTGATTTATTTACTAACAAAGTACGATCATTGGAGAGTCTGGGCACTCTAGATGGCATAAATTGGTTTACGCAGTTCATGACTTTTAACATGGCTTTGAAAGTGCCATGGCTATGCAGGAGAACGAGTGGGTATTATTTAAACAAGCAGCACGCTTTTCTACAAGAAGGAATGCGGTGAATCAAACACGACCACCATTTGCAGTTCATAAAAGAGAGAAGAAACTAAGAGACAGTTCAGCAAATGTTTTGTATTCTCAGTAAAAAGGTTTATACTGCGATTGTACTCAGCACAAAGCTAACGAGTGATGGGTTATAATCTTTGTACAATGGTCAAGACAAACTCTTAGTAAAAGAAACGACATAGTTTCAACTGCACCCGGGGAAGCCGTCTAGAAGTTTAATATCAGAGACTAATCTTTATCCAGACGTGTTGATAGTCATAAGTCTTAAATATGAAACAAATAACGTGCAGTGGGAGTAAAAAAGGATACGAAGATAAGGAATGGCAAAGTGTAAAAATGTGTACAAAACAAACTGACTTTATTAAATTTGGTACATATTTTACTTTCGCCTTAATAGGCTATAAAAAGTACAGTTATGTCTTGTGCATATTCTGTTTCATTTTTGTAAGATAAATTAAAAATAAAATTTTCACATTGAAATAACCTAAACACTGAACATTTTCACGCACCTTGGCCAAGCGATAGAATGATATTATTTTACACGAAATGTAAAACAAATGTCAAATAGAAGCACCTTAGCTGTGATATTTTTATGTCTTAACATTAAGTCACTAGTTTGACAGTAGAAGTGCCTGTTTTATTAAAGGGACATTTTCTTTGTGCACTAAATTTTGCGCAATTATATAACAAAGCTTTACTTGATTTAATCTGTTACTTCATTATTAATTACCTAAGCACAAGTGGGCTGTGTTGAACATAAATATACACACTAATATTGAACTGTCTTGCAAGAAAACACTCTAAAATACAGGCGAACAAGGTTTGAAAATATTTTGAAAACCAAACATCAGATCGGAAATCAAAGTTTGTTTGAACAACCCACAAATGAAGCAATAGTGTTAAAGAAATGTCAAGGTTAGATATATACCGCTCTCAATATAAAAACATACATAACCAAAATGACCCACAATAACGTAACCCAAATTGGCCTACAAAACAAAACAACAGAACGCAAAGCACCCAAACAAAACATACCACAATATATAGTACCAATGAAACAAGGCATATGAAGTATTTTTAATTACACAATTGTAAAATAAATATAATGATACATAAATCCCAGCACAAAGATAACTAAAAGTCTACGAAGCAAGACAACAAAATAAGAATAATAAAGCGTACAAAACTAGCGAAATAGCAATACAACAGTCGAAGACAACCATTCACAGTTCCTAAAAAGAGAGAAAAAAGTGAGATATAATGAAATAGATATAATGATACATAAATCCCAGCACAAAAATAACTCAAAGTCTACGAAGCAAGACAAGAAAATAAGAGTAATGAAGGGAAATAGCAATGCAACATTACAAGATGTTATAGATGTATATCTATAATATCTTGTAATGCTGATGAACTGAATTTGTTGTGACTGTTAGCTGAACTGCGTGTCTGGATGTAAAAAGTAGCTTATCAAAAACAAATATCTTAGTTTGTGTTTACAAGGTTGCCTTTGATATGACATCATGTAATCATTTATCATTGAAGTTATTCAGAAGAAAAGAAATCTCAAGGTGAAAAGGGAGTAAAAGGCAGGAAGACAAATAAATATAAAAAAATCTGCTAATGTAAATGGAGAAAGCGTAAAAACCAGAAGTAGAATGTGACGAAAAATTAAAACGTTTTTATTCAGTTTATAATGATAAACAAAACAGTTTCAATGTCAAATGTCGAATTAAGGTGAACCTCTATTCTTTTTCGTGCAGGAGAAAAGCGGAAATGTATTCATCAATAAAACGTATTCGGATATGCTCAAAGTTAACTGGTGCCGGGATTTTTGACTATCGTTCACTTTTAAGTGTTAGATAAACAATTTAAGTCAGTGAGCAGCGTGCCATGAAAGTAATTCTAAAATCCTTAAATAATGATGCGGTGCTAAAATTTCTGCATGCTTAATTGCGTACATATTATTTATGTCGACGACAACAAAATAACGACAAACGGCAATCATGCGCATGCTTCGGATGAGCTTTAAGAAAATTTTTAATAACATAAAATTCATATTTCGAATTCATTCAATGTATATGTTACAATAAAAAATGGTCTTCTTTTTTTATTTGCTTATTTAGTTAAACATGAACTTTTTATTTTAGTGTGTTTCATATTATTCTACTTAAAATTGCTGACTGGTGATTGATTTTGGTGTTATATACGTTGCTACCTTTCTATAGTCTTGGCTTCTGTTGCTTAATTATAGCAAAGATTCTAGCTGTAAAGATTCCAGTGTAGGAAGCTTCGTATCGAATCGATTACCTCATGCCAACATTCTTAGTGTCCAAATATGTTGAATTTTATCTCAAGTTGCAATGCTGTATTTTTTTAGCAAAATGTCTTAGCACCTTTAAAAGTTGTGATAGCTACTCAAAATCCATACGATGAGAAGAAAAAATCTGTTCAGAATGCCATTTGGAAGAGAATTGCCGATTACGTAGTTTAATAACTGTGATGAATATGCATTTAAATTTAACAAAACTTCTTAGAGTAATCTTTCTGAGAGCTGTTTAAATAAAACGTTAAAAAAAAGAATATAAGTGCAGAAGATGAAGCTTCGGTGTCAATTCTGAACCATGACGTTTCACAAATAAACTGATTGGATTAGATCGCCTTTTAATCGCGCCTCAAAAGTTGCAGCAACAAATACTTTTTTGACAACCAAAGAATGAAGATTAAAATATTTATGTCGTGGAATATATATCCTATTTCTGTCATAAAGTCAATTATTAATAAGTGAAAATTCACCACACACGTTGTGTTATTTCCTTATGAATAGACTTTTGCGAATACATGTAACGAAAAATCGACCTAATCATTGCATATTTTTCATTAGATCTCTGGTTTTCGTTATTTATTCATTTTGACCGATCATTTGTTCACTTGACTGTGTTTGAAGTTAAGCAATTATTTAAACATTGAATTATTAAAGTGGTACTATGACGAAAAATTTGCCTCTCGTTTTTTTTTCATAGATTAATAGTGTATGTAAAAAAAATCTCTTCTGGCGAAATTTTGGCGCAATATATTTAATGCTGCTCGAGTTACGTAGCGATGAAACTTGAACTTTAAGAGCCGCCATTAAAATGCGCCATATTTGAATTTTCAAGAAGGTGCTTGTGACGTCATAGTCTTAACTCGCGGCTGTTTACAATATAACACTATATAGAGATTTAAAAGGTTGTATAACTCAATTTTTTTAACATGCCTTCAACACGCTGTGTCGTGCAAGATTGCAGTAATAAGTCTGATAGAAGTACAGGCATTTCCTTACATAAAAGCACAAACGACGAGTCTTTGAGAAGAATTTGGGTTAAATTTGTTCAGACGAAGTACGCAAACTTTAATCCGAGTTTGCGCGAAATTCGATTTATGATTTGTTCGAATCACTTCTCGGATGATTGTTTCGAGCGTTCATTCCATTTGGGTGGTATGACTAGACGGCTCAAACCTGGTGCCGTACATACTATTTGGAAGAAATCACAAACACCAACAACGTCAAGAGAGCGGCCTCAAGTTAGCACAAGTTGCAAAATTATATACTTACACATATTGCAGATGATAAATTTTCACAATGTGAGAGAACCAATAATACATCCAGGCAAACTTTCAATATATAATATACATTTATACTTAGGTTTTAAAGGAAATACAAAATGAAGTGTCTGTATCATGCGATGACCTTTGCTCTTTAAACCTTACGAAGCTGCTTGAAGAACAAATTCATTCAGGCAAACTTCGTTAAAGCCAGGGTGATCCAAAATGCATTTCCTTTCATCGATTTCGAACTGATACATTTTACCACGGCATTGCTCTATTTCCATGCAGCATCGGCACTCTTGAGGGTTGATAACAAGATCCAACGAACAATGGCCACATTCACACCTTTAATATTGGCCAAATTTTATGTTTCCATAAAGTTATCATAGCTGACGGCAGACGATTCAGATCAAAGTAACACTCTAAGAATGACATCTTATCATGAAGTAACATCAACACGGGCATCAAAACGATCTTGCAGCATGTCTTCAACCCGCCGTTCTTCTGCGACTGTAGCTTCGTACTCAGCAATTTCATTGGGCGAAGCAAGCGGTTCAATATTATCGACAAATGGCAAAATTTCCGAATTAGATTCGTTCGAATTTGCCGTCACAAATTCCGATGAAGAAATCGATGCGTTTGTCTCGATCGAAGACTCAGAGAGCGAGCTAGATCTCGATGAATTTGACATTTTTTTGCTCTATTTATGTATTACTTTGTATACTTTCCAATGTGCGCTTCTTGCCGTGTTAAGACTATGACGTCACAGACCTTTGCTGATTGCAAATATTCAAAATGGCCGATTTTAATGGCGGACATGAAAATTAGACATTTCAAATGTTCATAACTCCCTCGTTATATTATTATTTTTGCTTACATTTTACGAAAGCAATAATTGATATGTGTTTAAACTATTGAATGCTAAAATCGATGATTTTTTAACGTTAAGTTTTCATCATAGAACCACTTTAAGGAAATTGTCATGATCATCAATGGTGTCAAAAGTTAATTTCATTTTTTAAGGTTTTACACAGCGCAAATAGACCAGGGAATTCTCAATTGCGTTAAAGAACATCAAAGAAACGTCTACAAATAAACTGATTGAATTAGATCGCTTTTTAAGTGCGCATCAAAAGTTGCAGCAACAAATGGTTATTTGACAACCAAATAAAGAAGATTAAAATATTTATGTCGTGGAATATATATCCTATTTCTGTCATAAAGTCAATTATTAATAAATGAAAATTCTCTATTGCGTTAAAGAACATCAAAGAAACGTCTACACAAACATCTTTTGAGAGACGTACACATAAAATTTCATCAAAGTAGACATTGATTTAGACGAAACACCTTCAGTTACATTGATCATCATATGAAAGTAAACATTTTTTAGTGAATCATTTCTAACAGAAATGTCAGCCGATCCGTTTGTTGTAACACAATGAAGTATTATCATTTGCGTTTGACGGGTAAATGTCTTAAATTTTTTGGTTTGTTCACGTTTGAAACGTCACATTTGTCAAACAAACATCGGGCTTCAACTGGTGAAAGTTACGTTTGTTCAAATCACAGATTTCTAAGTTTGTAATAGCTCTTTCTTATGTTATATGGTCAGTTATCAAACTTTGCAAATCACCTGAAGTACACATATATAATTTTCAGTTGCTACAGCATTTTATCAATGTAAAATCGTATAAACAAGTTAATCAACTGACCAAACCTATTCAAATTGTTCCTCAAACGTTAAACCTTCCTGAGCAAACGTTACGTTACTTAGTTGAAATCCGACGTTTCGCGAGACAAACGTTACGTTTGAAACATGAACAAAAGCGAAAAATTCGGGACACTTACCAGTTGAACGCGAATGCAAATAATTGTATACAATGCTTTATAATTTCCAACAGTCAATGAAATTGTTACTTTTTGAATATTTAATGAGCGCGACTCACGCTCTAACCCCATCGTTAACCTTTAACAATTCCAATAAATTTAAGATAACAAAAACAACTATTGGATCGGGTAGAAACACCAATTTAAGATTGAAGTAAAAAAGAAAGCAGAGCAAACATCATGTTTTCATGCAAAGTTCACGTTTAACGACGAACTGATATGAGCGTTGAAAAGATGGTTTTTACGGCAGTAGAATAAAGACTCAAGTAAAACTCAAACCTTTCTCTTCGTTCCACTTGTCTTTGGTGACTTCTCGTTTTTCTATTAGATTTATCATAAAGTTGAAGTTCTCCCGTTTAAATTGTAAAAATTATCATGAAGAGGTACATAAAAATCAATAATGACTTCACATACCAAGGACGGAGTAAACTTTCCCAATGATGCTGTAGAAAGCCGAGCAGCGTTGATAGAAGCTTTTATCTGAGAAAGAAAAACAATATCGTTCAAATTCATCCTTCGCCCACCCAACCTCCACCAACACTTCACATTATGTAAATTACTCGTTCACCAACAGCGCAAAAGCAATGGACCTACAAGGAACGTAAGTGGAGTGAGGGGAGATGTGCATGGTGATGACTTATGTACACCACTAATCTTGCATCGGTATGGAAAATAATGAATTCAATTTTGCTCTCTTTTGTTTCGATACTTATAAAAATAATTTTATACATACATGTTAATGTCATTATACAGTTGCAAAATGTTTTTCAGAATCATACTCGTGAATATAAAATTCAACAAAGACTTACGCCTGTGTTGTCATGAAATCAATCAGAAAAGACTGTATTCCTAAATCCCACTCTGCCACTCGCTGAGTGGGACTTCAAAATCACCCCCGAAACAATAACCGAAACTGCATTTTCACTTCACTTATTGTTTCATTTGAAATACGTATATTAGCGCACTTCTTGATATCCTCATTGAATACTGGGAGATCGATTTCTGAGTTACATACAACGAGTATGAATGAGAGTATGTGTGTTAAATTTTCAAATTGGCTATTGAACCAAACGATAGTGAGTTATGGTATGTTTCAAACCAACCTGGCTTCGCGACGGTTTCTCTGCAGGCGTTAAATCTGAAGTTGATTCTAAACGAATAAAAAAATTTCCAAATTACTAAATGATTCTGTAATTTACATAGCATGACCTAACTTGCCCACGTGCTCAACCATGGCTTCTACACCAATAATAGATAGATTTCGCAAACACGACGTATCGTCTAAGACGCCGTCAAAATGGCGTATATATCGCGTGGACCCAACCATATATGGGAATATCACGCCATTTTTACGCAATTTTCACGACGTCTTAAGGTATGTAAACACTGGAAGCTATAAGTGGCGCTGAAACCGTATGCTGTAACATGTCCAATTTAACCTTCTATATTTGATATTATGTGGTACACACTAAGTGCAATGCTGTAGCGCTGCACTCAGTGTGTACGACATAATACAAAATATAGAAGGCTAAATTGGACAAGTAACGGCATATGGTTTCAGCGCCGCTTCCAGCTTCCAGTGTGAACGGACCTTTAGACGATGCGTCGTGTTTGCTTAATCTCTCTAATAAATACACTGATGCGGCGCAGTGGTATCACTAGCCAGGAGATTTGGCCCAGCTGTATTTAAAATCAGAATTATTACCGATGTCGAAAATAATATATTTTCCTAATGCACAGTGAGCATAGTATATTTACAGAGACACATGGACATTTACAGAGACACATCTGACAGAAGGGGAGCAGATTTTCCAAGGAGGTGTGCTGAAGAGGTCTTATCGAACAATTTTTTAGCCTATAATAGTATCATATCTACAGGATGGCGAGAGACTTATTTTTGGGAGGGGTGCTTAAAAAACCACCCTTGGATAACAAAAGTATTACATCGGTTTGGCTAAACTTCTCACGTAATGTCTTACTGTTAAATTTCTGAGAACGACTCATGTTTCTCAGACATTGATATTTGTTCTTCGCCACTCGTTCTTTTTTGTCTTTTTCACGTTTTAAAAACTGGTCTTCATAAGGATCTACAAAATACCAACAAGAAATTACCAATTCCACACATAACTGTAGTGCAAATCTAGGGCCTGGTTATTTCAAGGATAAGTACTTACTTGCATTGGCAGGCACTTCTATTAGCCATTCTTTTGTGTCATCTTTTGCACGTTTAAATCCCCAGCGTGGCTGCCATGACTATGTTAAATTGTAATATTAAAGTTAAAAATGATCAAAATGAATGATTTCAATGTTTTTAGTGGCGTTAAGAGCAAGGCCTCCTGTAGTAAAAACTTTCAACTTTTTTGACAGAACCACACAGTAAAAATAGATTGGTCAAAATGACCAAAAAAAATTGGTCATTTGAATGCACCTGAGAAGAACAATTTTTATAGGTTTAGTTCAATGCATTGAACTGAATATTATCTAAAGTCAGATTTCCACTTGCGAATTTTTTGCGCGAAGCGCTAACTTTCGAGGCGAAAAATTTCGTACGAATGGGTATATGATTTCCACTAGTAATAATAGAACCGCAAAATACAAAAAATATTCATACAAAGCGGCTGAACCGGCACATAAACGACAGCTTAGTATTTACGACCAGGAATATGTTTCCATAAGCATGGTTTGTTTCGTATTTCGTCTAAGAAAATCCCTTATTCAAAATACTTGGGTTTTTAGTAGAGTAGAGTCGCTAATAACTCCTCACAACCCGCCACTTTGAAAACTGAATATAGTTGATGGACATCACAAATCAGAAACACTGAAATCTGACTGGCTGGCGAATTTTTTCGTAGCAAAAAGTAGAAATCAATCGAACTCAAATTTTCGTCTTTGCGAACAGTTTATGCGAATTTATCGCTGTGTATATGTGACGCTGTTGAACGTCTGCGCATGCCTAAATTAGAAAATGATCGCTTTGCGCGGAAAAAATCGAAAATGGAAATCCGGCTTAAGCCTACTCTTTGATTCGCGCATGGAAAAATTGCGATGGCTGAATTGCTGGCTTTAAATTTTGGGAGGAGTAAGCCTTTCAGTTATATTCAGTTTAACGAACTGAACACAAAACAATAGCATGAAATCAAGGCTAAAAATGAAGTCATTGACGTTGCTGTTTTCATGGCCGAAAAAACAAATTTGGTAAGTGTCTATTGGTGAGAACTAAGATGAATAAAAATCCACTAGAGGCGTAACGAGCGAATTATCTTGTACGTAAATGTTTGTAAAAATTATTATTCATGCCTTAAGAAATGTAGTCTTTTTACATTAACTGAGCAGCGAAATATTCAAATAGCGAGATCGAAATATTTACACATTGAAACAAACGCCACATAAAGAGAGTAACCAGAAACTAAAATTCTTTTACACACAAACAACACACACAATCATCTTACTTTGGTCGTCGTATCATAAAGCATCCTTCCGCGTTTCCGATATCCCTAGAAAAAAATCTGTCTAAACTAGGTGTAACAAATTTTCGTTGAGCAACCTTTGCATTTAGACTACGTTAACACTGCTCCGGATTGGTCTGAAAACGGCGCAAAAAAGCAACAGAATCGAGTTACTTTTAAACTACGCCGGAGTGGAATTGTTTAAAAACGTCACTTTCCGGAGCCATACGAACACACTTTCCAAACGAGGTCGAACAAAAACGAGCGCTACGCAACGTTGGGTAAAAAGCTAACCGCTAGTATTTCGCCACACTTTAGATACCAGTTCTCTTCGATTCGTCCCAAATTTTTGCGCATAATTGAGAATGGTGAACATTTTATGTTTTGGAAAGCTTCTCATGAAAAATTCCGTAACAATTTTTACAAATCAATGTTTTTTTATGATTTATGGCTAGATTTCTAAACATCTAGCAATGTGTAGACGAGAAACGGCGCTATTCTTTAAAAAAAACTAACAAATTTTGACAGCAAGATACATTATTTGAAAATACGCGCAAAACTGTAGAGGAATTCAAATGGATCACGGTAAACGCAGTCAAATTCTTCAGTCACTTTTTTGTCCGGAGTAGGGAAAACGTAGTCTAAGAGACACGACAAACGTTAATAATCGACATAATTAAAGCAGATAATGAGATCAGTAAATTTGTACGCAAAACGTGAGTTGTTCATGTTCACACAAGCATTTAATAATCTATTTTGAAAGGGTAAATGTAAAAACCAGATTTTAAAACTAGCTTAATACTAAACGGTAACGTTTTTATTACTAGTAACACAAAAGTTGATCAGCATAATATAAAATGAAATATACTGGGATAAAACAAACACAACCTAGCCTAAAAACTCAAGATATGAGATGTAAAAAACAAGACGCATTACCTCAATTAATGATATTTAAACTCTACTTCAGAATAGAGTAGTGGCAAAGCTAGTGAAGAAGCTAATGAAGATGATAGTGGAGAAGCTACTATAGAAGAAGCAAGTGAAAAGGCAAGTGGAGATGATATTGGAGACTGTAGAGGAAAAAGGAATGAAAAAGCCAGTGGAGAATCAAGTAGAAAAGCTAGCGGAGAAGCATGGGAAGAAGCCAAACGAGAAACTAAAGGAAATACTGATGTAGAAGCCAATGGAGAACGTAGTCAAGAAACCGGTCAAGAAGGTCGTGGAGAAGCTGGTTGAAATGCTTGTGTAGAAGCTAGTGAACATTCAAGCAGACTGTAAGAAATACTGGATTTATCTTTCAGACTATCCCCCACTGTGCTTCTACACCCTACAATACCTTTTTTTTTGCAAACTCTTGCCATTTCGTTAATGGCTTTGGTTTGGGAATCTGTGAAATAGAAGTATTCAAATTTCAAGATTACATTAACAAAGTGGAAAATTTCAATGAAGTTAATACATTTAGGCAGTGACGTAGCTAGACAAAAACAACTGGTCGTGCTATAGCGAGAACAAAAATGAAGTTCAAGTACAGTTGGTGGCAACATAAGTTTTCTGTGCCGCCGGTTATGTACGTTTAAATCTGCGACTTTGATATTTCATGCTTTTGGCAATCGCCCAGTAAATAATGCATGTTGACATAACCAATTTGAGTCAATGTAGTGGACTTCGAACGAAACAGTAAATAAAGAAAACAAAATAAATGCCATTTCTTCACACTAGTGCATAACAAATCTTTCCTTTCGCACCAAGACTGTCGGAACCCTTTATCTCTCGTTTTCAGAGTGAGCGTAGGGCCGTGTCATACAAACAAAATATTTCTATTGCATAGCGTTGCGTGAACTGACAATACTTTGTAAAAGCTCAGAAACGATATTTCTGACTCTTTGAGCTTCAGACACAACGTTTTTACTGTCCTTTACTGATTTCTATGTTCACACACAAAAATAAATTCAATAACACAGTAAAACGATGAATAATTCGACAATATTTGAAATACTCGTGCGAATAAAGTTGGGCACGACCAAAGGAAAATATTCGGCGAATGAGCATGCGTACGACTCAATGCAGCCTTATATATTATTAGTAATTTATGTTTTGGTCGTTTTCGCCTGATCAGAGCACGACCAAACTAAGGTTGACTATACCCATTTTAAGAGGCTGTGAGGTTTTCTAGCCAATCAGCGCTTAGAAATATATAATTTGGTCGTGCTGGCCTAACTAGAGCACGACCAAAAACGGGCGAATGTCGTTCCATGTGCTTTTAGGCAATGACTAGGGCAGATGTCGGGCTGAAATAAGTAATATGAAGTATTTCAAGATACAAATGAAGCATTAGATATAGATTTTGTTTTCACTACTATCTGTTAACATTATAAACAAATATTGAAATTTTAGTGGGTTAAAAAGTTTAAAAAGTTTAGAAAATATTTAAAAAATGTTTAAGTTTAAGTAGTTAGAAAAAATGTTTATAAAATGTTTGGTCATGCTCAGCACAACCTCTCGCTATGCCACTGCATTAAGGAACTAACCTGCTTTTCTCGTGGAAGAACAGTTGTTGCTTCTGGAAGCTGAAACATTTAATGTGGTAAGTAAGGCACTGAAAAAATGATATGTACATGCAGTCTCCAAGTTTTTACTATTTAAATTTGGAGAAGCAAATTCTGGTTTAGAAGACGTTCTTAACTATTGACATAAGCAAAAATGCTACAAAATATTATACATATTTACAAATTTTGCAGACAAATTCTTGAAAACTAATGTCCAAATGGCTAAAAAATTATTTACACAGAATTTTTTGTTCAATTTTGACAACAGTCTGTTTGTAGTCACTGTAAAAAATTCTATGAATCAGAGCTTATTTATACTGCATAGTAAATTATCATAATTAGGGATGCGCATGATGCAAAACAACACATGGCATCACAACTATATAATTTATATCCCTATAAGCACTTGCTGAATCGGAAGTATGATAGAAATCATGAATACTTTTATTTAGAACATTTTTATGGCAATTTAAGAATGGAAAAACTACGTAGGAAGCATTCTCATTTTACAAATACAACTTTTAAGAAAACCATAAGCAACAAGTTTTCTACTAACCTGTACCAAAACAACATTGTCACACTTTTCAACTGGCAGCTGGAAAAGTAAGAACACTGACTATATCTATAACTACATATAAACCTGACAAAATAGACAAAAAATGAATTTAAAATTTGCAATATCACACTCACTGGCATAGCCAGCCAGTAAATTTGGCCTAGCTATGCCAACTATTGTGTGTTTACTCATTGGAAAACAACAGATTTCTAAAGAAATAATGCTGTGAAAATTGCACAGCAGGAGAAAACTGTGAAGGCTGGCTACACTACTGATTATACCACAGAGCGTAATTACATAAAAAAGTTTAAAATTAAATGTGATAATTTAAAAACCTTTGGTGGAGATAGAATTAAACCTTACAAAAGAGTATGTCAACCATGGACCTATGCCCATGGGCTTCGCCAAAAAATATGAATTTTCAAACCTTCCAGATGCAATTCAAAAGAAATTGCGTGTTGTCACGAGCATTGTCACGTAGAATTTCATCTTTCTTGTTTCTACGTTCAGTAATAAATACAATGAAAAGTTTATAAGGAAAGACTGCACTACGAGATGGGGTCTTTGCTTTAAATGTCAGAATAAATCAATAGGGTTGTGAAGAAGGAAAAACTCACTTGAAGCTACTTTTTTCCACAATATTTATGTCAGTTAATAAAAGGTTTCTAACATCAAATTGAGGTTCGATCAATTTATTTACTTCTGTTGATTTAAATTTCTGTTCATCTTTTACTTCTGCGGCCGAGATTATGTCCTCTATATTCACAATTGATGTTTCATGAGATATATGTATCGCATCCATTTTCTGGCATATACAACCACAAATACCAGAACCATTGAGTTCTATAAGACCTGGAGGGGAAACGTCAACAAAATTACTATAAATTATCAGCGCGCGGCCGCGTGGTCAAAAACATGGCGGATTTTGGTGGTCAAAGTCAGCGGAGAGACGCGGGCTCATGAAATAAAATTTTTATCGCCCACCCTGATTTGACCACCACGAATACGACAACACAGTCTCAGGCTTAAATAGATGAATAGCATCAATTGACAAAACGGCTTAAATAGATAATAATCATCAATCCAAGGGAAACTCCGTAACTATCCAAATTCAATACGTTTTGCGCACCCGCAAAAAGTTAACATGGCGGAAAAACGACTAAAACGTAAGAATTCACCATATTATAGATATTGCTGTTCAAAAGGAATGGAATCATTGTGTATTAAATTAGGCAAATTTTAACTACAATTAAGCTATTATTTATTCTACCTTGATATACAGCGTGTAAAAGAAGAAATCGAGACTCTGGAGAAAGTTCTGAATGATGGTTTAGCCTTGTTGGCGAAAGAAAAAGGATCAAAATGTCGGGGAAAAAGCCTTCTCATTTTCGCTTAGTGCAAGTTGGTTGTAAGAGGTTGACCCACATTACCGCTGCCGTCAAGGATCAATTAAGCAAAATGGTAATGTTAATATTTAGTATTTATATTAAAATTTACTATCTTCAGTAGTATGTTGAGATTGTTGTTCTTGTTTGCAATTTTATGCTAAATAATATGTAGTATGCATGTGTAACTACATCATGCTATGAAATTTTGTACTTGAAATATTGACTGTACAATTTTGCTGCTTTAAATCATATATGGCTCAAACAATTTTGTCCAGTGTCCTTAGCAGATTTGACTATTTAGTTTCTTATGGGTAAGCAGAAAGACAACTGAGTAAACTGTCATTACATTACCATGCATGGTTGTACCTAAAACTGTTACAGGTCAATGTTGTTTAAGTTATGTACTGTATAAGAAATTGCATTGTAAATTTATATTAGATAACCAGCAGTATGATATCTCTGTGGCTGATGACTTTCAAGTAAATGATGAGCACAAGCAAACAGACGTTGATATTGGTAAGCATCAATGTATATGTATAATATTAAGTTAAATGTAATAGATTTGTCTAATGATTGCTCATGCTTGAAATGCTTTTGGTAAAACTAATAATTGCATTTGAAATCAATAATTGCAATAATTTGTTGAAATGCATGTATGTAGCTCTATCCACTTTGATATTGAGCACCTTTATTTGAAATTGTCTTAGATCATATACCGTCTCATTTAATCAGAAATTGTCACAACAAGTTCACTCAGCTAACAATTTTTAATTTCTTTACTGGTTAAATTTTTTATAATATAAGTCATTATTGTTTTGTAGAGCTAGAGAATCTTATATTTGAATGCAGAGGACTTTTGGCTTCAGAGAAAGAGGATGCCAAGAAATGGTCTGATCATGGAAGAGCTTCATTCTCTTTGGGAAAATAATAGATCTACCATATTGAAACCTTGATCCAATGTGAATCAGTTGATAAAGGCACACCATGCTTCAATTGTGGGGAATCTCAGGCTTGATAAAGTGTCCTCAGTGTGGTAGTAACTGGCCAGTCTGTGTTGAATGTGATAGGAAAATTCATGAAAGAAAGCCATTCCATGATAGACATGGGTGGATGGGTAATCATTTCAGACCACTTCAGCCATCACATTCATTGGATAAAATGGACAAATAATTGAAGTTGGTATGTCATGTAAATATGGTAAAAGTATGTTAAATGTCATATGCACTATGCTAACTGATGTCAAAATCAACCTACATATGTAGCTACTTATAGGTATATAATTTGGGGTGATATAATTCTATTATTTATACAAAAAGGTTTTATCTCCCAGTCTAATGATGAAAATTTATTATATTTGTTTCTTAGATTGCTATGTTTCTTTGCATCCTGTCCAAAAGTTTTGTCATGGCTGCTCTAGAAAATCAACCTTTCACTCCGTGCCCAGTAAGGACATGCTGACTATTTGTACAACACAAGGTAATGTACAAAGTATTTTATACTTGCAATGTTGAACATGCAAAATTTTGTGTTTGCTCCAATAAAATGTAATCTTATTGAACCGACAACTGTTGACATTAATCTTTAAACATTTTGATTTTCTTCTTCATCAGTGTTGTGAAGGACTACTATATAATTTACTCATTAATTTACTGTAGTATTCTTCTTACATACTGTAATAGTTACATGTATACAGTAAACTGCCATCCTATGTACATAATGTCTTTTTAGTTATCATGTTTATTAATCTTTTTCTATTGTTAGGTCGCTTTGACATAAACAGTACATCATTCAAGTGTGTTTCTTGTTCAGCATTCTTGATGCCGACACTTGCAGATATTCTTGGTAATGGCTACTGGCCAGCAAATCCAAAGTCTTTAAATGTGTTATTTTCACAGGATTTACTTCTGCTGTGGAACACAATGCAAAGAGAATGCCAGGTTGTTCTGAGTCCAGTTTTATTAAATCATTGGAAGACATAAGTGTTTCAAAAGGAAGGGTGCGTACATAAATACTTTGTGTATGCCACATTACTAAGTGTAAACTCTCAGCATTGTACATAGTTTTTTGTGTAAAGCAATTACCATTGTCACTAGTGTTATGGAAAACATCCAAATTCATGAAAAATGTATATGTATGTGTGGCAAAAGTCTACAATTTTTTCTATGTGATTTCTACTTTCTTTCAATTTTTAGTTTGGATCAATAAATCAACGTTCACAAAAGCCTTTCGAGAATGGAAATATTTTAATTATGAGGTGGAAAAGCCCAGGAAAAGAGTGGATGTTTGTCCTAGTTGCTCATCCAACCAACACTCCTGTCATGTAGATGGCAACATGAAGTTATACCGATATAAACATTCAGGAAGGTATTATGTCAAACTCTGTAATTTTTACACATTCTAAGGAGCCTTTCATAATGTAAACTCTTGTTTTCTCTTTATAGAGAACAAAGTCAATCTTACTATGGAGATCTTTTATTTCTTCGAATGAACATGTTTCAGAGCATATTAGAAAGGTTTATTCCACCCCAAGTTCGGGTAATTTGGAGGTCATGCTTTGCACTGATGTTGAAATGTTTTGTACAGTTCAGTACAATACACCATTACATGAGTAAAGTTCTTTTCATTATAACTCAATACTTACCCTATTGATAATGATATTTATTCATTATTATTGGTTTTGCATTTTGGCTATTGTATTCATTGTAATAAATAATAAAATCGACAGTTTAGCCTTTTCTGAATCAATATATAAATGTTCGTTTTCCACGATCATGGTTCGAATTTGAATCTTTTGTGTTACAGAACTTTTCTGATGACGGGAAATGTGGTGAAAGTAATTGGCGAGCTGCTGGAAATAAAGGAAAACGAAAGAGTCGTCTAGACGAAACAGGACTGGAAATTGCAGGTTGCCGGCATGCAATTGCTCAGTGGGCTGTAAACATGTTTCGCGGAGAGATTTATGGCTACTCTAATTACATCCATGTTCACAAAATGATTCCAAACAATGTTAAATACATTTGGCAAGATATCATATGTAAATATTGGAAGTGGGCAGTGAAGGCATCAAAGTCGGATGAGTCAAATGCTCACGAAATAAAACCTGCTTTATCTGTGATGCATGCCAAAGCACATAATTGGACATGCCAGGTACACTGGTATCATGTGTTTTTTATAATGAATGCTGGCTGTGTACTTATACGTATATCGATGTTCACTCTCAGTATTGTCTACTCAGACATTAATGAATTTCTTATAAACAAGAATTTCCAAACTCGTCTTATTTTAAGGTATTGTGGGGAGGACGGTGGCAAAAGGTTCTGCATATTCCACAGAGAGAGTTGAGCAGATTAATAGTTACCTTTCGAGACTGGCCAACACTACAAATACCTGAGTGTAAGTGTTATTAAAATAAGTTTATAAAATATGTTTAATTATATTGTAGACTTTATTTGTTGGATAGAACGATTATCCATATAACAGCTATCGTCCACGTTGGTCTCAAGTTACTGGAACATTTTATGGTTTTCAATTGATGTGTCATGCTATGTATGTGCTTTTTGACAATTTTAGCAAGAGAAGAACTCATAACTGAACATGCTCTTGCGTGGAATAAACGGAAAATATGTGATCTGTCCAGCTCCCTCTGCAAGAGATATGCAAAGGTTGCTTCTCAAAACTATTTTGTAGATGCGGCCAAATAACGCTACTAACAGCCGTCATCCTGATAAGTTATTTTCTTTTAGTATATAGAAGCTCAAGAAAATACAAGGAAAGAACTTGATGAAATGGTTTCTGGCGTAAATCTCTCCGAACCACGTTGATTTCTTGCAGGAAGAGTGAAGTTCAACGCATTGCAAAAGGTAACCGGGTTTTACTTGCTGGCATAATTTAATACGACTGTGCAGTATATCATATTTTTTTCTGTTTCTGTAGAAATGGAAAGCTCCTTCTTCACGTATTTAGCCGAAGAAGAGGAATTTTACGTTTGACCTCCTCTTTAACCGATACCTCTTTATTGACATCAAATGTAAACATCTCGTGTGTTGAGACTGAAGACTATCTTTCTGCCCTGTCAAAAGATAATTCAAAGATACTCCACCGTTGAGGATAAACGTAAAGAGTTAAATCACTGACTGCCAAGCTTTGTCGTGATATAACCGCCGATGTACTGCTTGATAAAGGAAAAAGTTATTTTGGAAGTGCCTTGAATGTCTTAAGAATGAACTAGAAATGTTTCTTTTGCCATAGTACAAAGGAAAGCAAGCGTTGTAAAATTGGGAGTATGTTTTTACATATACACGTATATTACTACATAAGAGGAGTGCATTTGTTAGCAAGAATCCATACTGAAGTCATTGCAAATTTAAGGCAAAAATAGATTGTTTCTTATTTAGTATACTTACCTGTTTCTTTTGCCTGTAGACTCAGCAAAAGCAAGAACAAAGATAAGACAGAAGATGTCTAGTGATCAGAAAAACATTGACAAAAATGCGCATATTCAACGTATTACAGTTTGTTGTGCATGGTCAAGAAGAAACAGTAAGACTCGACGAGTGTTCTCTGGTTGATGGCATGTTTCCCTGGACTCTCAATGGTGTGTACCTAAAACATATTCTGTAAATTCCAACATGCCTTAAGTAAGAACTTAAAGTTACTTAAACGTAATGTTATAAAACATCTTTATATAGAAATTTCTGTTCGACTGAAATGTAAAATTGTTGACAAGTTCGAACATTTAGAAAGACTGGAGGAGGAGTTAATTCTTATTAAGAAGAGTAGTTATTTGCGATATTACAAAGATATCGTTATTCTAAAGTTGAAAGCGGAAGAAAGATGGAACAAAGTCTAAACTCAGGTATGTATAATGAAAGTCACGTATGTACTGTAAAGGAGTCCATGTGCTCATTTTAAACAAATCATTGTAAGACATAAGCTTTTTTTTTGAGCTTCTCAAATTTTCAACACGTTTTGTAGAAAGAGTTTCAGTGAAAGACACTAGGAATGTTTGTCAAATGAAAGAGTTGAATCTGAGGTATATACATATAATCTTCCGTTAAGCACTACGAATATGTATGGAGAAAATAAACAATAAGTCATGCGCAACAAACATAATGAAGGAACCTTAGCGTACATAAAATGTTTTGTGGAAGAAACCAAATGCCATGTAATCTATTATTTTTAGAAATCCTTGTATGCTTCTTCGTCTCATAAATCAAGACGTGTTATTTTGGGTGAGATAGCTTTGCGATATGGGTATAAACAGCACAAAAGAAGCTAGACCTTGGATCCAAGCACTTCTCCTGTATTAACAGTCGCGATGTTTTGGATACTTTAGTTAGCAATGAGAGTGATATTGAAAGCTACAGCGACAATGAAGACGATGATCTTTTTGATGATAATGGTTCTGATGATAAGATCAATGATTGCTAATGTTGCTAGTGATAAATGACTTGTTATTAAACTTGTATTTGTACTGTATGATAACAGAATCCAGCTACAATGAGTGGGTGCAACCATGAAACCCTGCCTTAGAGCAGCTAATACGGGTCATAATTATCATTCCCGGGGACTGGAAGCATTGTTATCCATTACTGATATGATCTGTTGCAAAAACAGGGAAACGATAAATTATCATTTGTAATATTAAAAAGTGAAACGTGCATTTTGAAAAGTCCTTAAATATTCTTATTATGATTTTGTCTTTTATCTCAACATTGCGCGAGGTTACACGTTTGTTTTGGTCTAGTGTTATCTTTTATTAATGATTTTTTTTTTGAAACGTTCTATTCTTGTTAAAAATAAATCAGTTGTAAAAACCATGGTGTAAAATTAAAGTGCAATTTTCCTCGTTGTATTGAGCTGAGTACTTACGGTTGGTTTGTGAGTCAGTAAAGATATAGAACATGTTGCCAGTAGTAGATTTTCAAATACAATACACCTTACACACATACACACCATACGCACCATGCTGACTGCCTTTATCACACCACACACTATACCATAATAATTTCTTTATTTACATACATGACACGAACACTATAATATCTTACAAACATTTTACACAATTATGGATACACTGAGGTATGTTTAGTGATATTTAGAATTATAAGAATATTTAACATCATACACACCATACCTAATATTATAACTATACACATGTTACCAGTGTGACATACGTGTCGATAACATGACTGATAATGCAATTGAGTGATCATGATCTGACACCCGCCAATGTGGAATTGAAGGAAGATGGAATGGAGGAAGGAAGTAAGAATGGTATGTAATGGAAGGGAATGGAGGAACTAATGGACTACTTTTTCAGCTTAATGTGTTCTATATCTTTACCCACTCCCCACAAACCCAACCGTAAAGTACTAACAGCTCAATACAACGAGGAAAAATTGCACTTTAATTTTACACCATGGTTTTTACAACTGATTTATTTTTAACAAGAATAGAACGTTTCAAAAAAAAAATCATTAATAAAAGATAACACTAGACCAAAACAAACGTGTAACCTCGCGCAATGTTGAGATAAAAGACAAAATCATAATAAGAATATTTAAGGACTTTTCAAAATGCACGTTTCACTTTTATTACAAATGATAATTTATGTCGTTTTCCCGTTTTTGCAACAGATCATATCAGTAATGATAACAATGCTTCCAGTCCCCGGGAATGATAATTATGACCCGTATTAGCTGCTCTAAGGCAGGGGTTTCATGGTTGCACCCACTCATTGTAGCTGGATTCTGTTATCATACAGTACAAATACAAGTTTAATAACAAGTCATTTATCACTAGCAACATTAGCAATCATTGATCTTATCATCAGAACCATTATCATCAAAAAGATCATCGTCTTCATTGTCGCTGTAGCTTTCAATATCACTCTCATTGCTAACTAAAGTATCCAAAACATCGCGACTGTTAACACAGGAGAAGTGCTTGGATCCAAGGTCTAGCTGTTGCTTTGCAAAGTTTATACCCTTGTATCGCAAAGCTATCTCACCCAAAATAACACGTCTTGATTTATGAGACGAAGAAGCATACAAGGATTTCTAAAAAATAATAGATTACATGGCATTTGGTTTCTTCCACAAAAACATTTTATGTACGCTAAGGTTCCTTCATTATGTTTGTTGCGCACGACTTATTGTTTATTTTCTCCATACATATTCGTAGTGCTTAACGGAAGATTATATGTATATACCTCAGATTCAACTCTTTCATTTGACAAACATTCCCTAGTGTCTTTCACTGAAACTCTTTCTACAAAACGTGTTGAAAATTTGAGAAGCTCAAAAAATCTAAAAAGCTTATGTCTTACAATGATTTGTTTAAAATGAGCACATGGACTCCTTTACAGTACATACGTGACTTTCATTATACATACCTGAGTTTAGACTTTGTTCCATGTCTTTTACTTCCGCTTTCAACTTTAGAATAACGATATCTTTGTAATATCGCAAATAATTACTCATCTCTTGCTTAATAAGAATTAACTCCTCCTCCAGTCTTTCTAAATGTTCGAACTTGTCAACAATTTTACATTTCAGTCGAACAGAAATTTCTATATAAAGATGTTTTATAACATTACGTTTAAGTAACTTTAAGTTCTTACTTAAGGCATGTTGGAATTTACAGAATATGTTTTAGGTACACCATTGAGAGTCCAGGAAACATGCCATCAACCAGAGAACACTCGTCGAGTCTTACTGTTTCTTCTTGACATGCATGCGTAATACGTTGAATATGCGCATTTTTTGTCAATGTTTTTCTGATCACTAGACATCTTCTGTCTTATCTTTGTTCTTGCTTTTGCTGAGTCTACAGGCAAAAGAAACAGGTAAGTATACTAAATAAGAAACAATCTATTTTGCCTTAAATTTGCAATGACTTCAGTATGGATTCTGCTAACAAATGCACTCTTATGTAGTAATATACGTGTATATGTAAAACATACTCCCAATTTTACAACGCTTGCTTTCCTTTGTACTATGGCAAAAGACAACATTTCTAGTTCATTCTTAAGACATTTCAAGGCACTTTCCAAAAATAACTTTTTTCCTTTATCAAGCAGTACATCGGCGGTTATATCACGACAAAGCTTGGCAGTCAGTGATTTAACTCTTTTACGTTTATCCTCAACGGTGGAGTATCTTTGAATTATCTTTTTTGACAGGGCAGAAAGATAGTCTTCAGTCTCAACACACGAGATGTTTACATTTGATGTCAATAAAGAGGTATCGGTTAAAGAGGAGGTCAAAACGTAAAATTCCTCTTCTTCGGCTAAATACGTGAAGAAGGAGTTTTCCATTTCTACAGAAACAGAAAAATATGATATACTGCACAGTCGTATTAAATTATGCCAGCAAGTAAAACCCGGTTACCTTTTGCAATGTTGAACTTCACTCTTCCACTGCAAGAAATCAACGTGGTTCGAGAGAGATTTACGCCAGAAACCATTTCATCAAGTTCTTTCCTTGTATTTTCTTGAGCTTCTATATACTAAAAGAAAATAACTTATCAGGATGACGGCTGTAAGCGTTATTTGGCCGCATCTACAAAATAGTTTTGAGAAGCAACCTTTGCATATCTCTTGCAGAGAGCTGGACAGATCACATATTTTCCGTTTATTCCACGCAAGAGCATGTTCAGTTATGAGTTCTTCTCTTGCTAAAATTGTCAAAAAGCACATACATAGCATGACACATCAATTGAAACCATAAAAATGTTCCAGTAACTTGAGACCAACGTGGACGATAGCTATGTTATATGGATAATCGTTCTATCCAACAAATAAAGTCTACAATATAATTAAACATATTTTATAAACTTATTTTAAGTAACACTTACACTCGGGTAACATGTACTTGTTGGCCAGTCTCGAAAGGTAACTATTAATCTGCTCAACTTCCTCTCTGTGGAATATGCAGAACCTTTTGCCACCGTCCTCCCACAATACCTTAAAATAAGACGAGTTTGGAAATTCTTGTTTATAAGAAATTCATTAATGTCTGAGTAGACAATACTGAGAGTGAACATCGATATACGTATAAGTACACAGCCAGCATTCATTATAAAAACACATGATACCAGTGTACCTGGCATGTCCAATGTGCTTTGGCATGCATCACAGATAAAGCAGGTTTTATTTCGTGAGCATTTGACTCATCCGACTTTGATGCCTTCACTGCCCACTTCCAATATTTACATATGATATCTTGCCAAATGTATTTAACATTGTTTGGAATCATTTTGTGAACATGGATGTAATTAGAGTAGCCATAAATCTCTCCGCGAAACATGTTTACAGCCCACTGAGCAATTGCATGCCGGCAACCTGCAATTCAGTCCTGTTTCGTCTAGACGACTCTTTCGTTTTCCTTTATTTCCAGCAGCTCGCCAATTACTTTCACCACATTTCCGTCATCAGAAAAGTTCTGTAACACAAAAGATTCAAATTCGAACCATGATCGTGGAAAACGAACATTTATATATTGATTCAGAAAAGGCTAAACTGTCGATTTTATTATTTATTACAATGAATACAATAGCCAAAATGCAAAACCAATAATAATGAATAAATATCATTATCAATAGGGTAAGTATTGAGTTATAATGAAAAGAACTTTACTCATGTAATGGTGTATTGTACTGAACTGTACAAAACATTTCAACATCAGTGCAAAGCATGACCTCCAAATTACCCGAACTTGGGAGTGGAATAAACCTTTCTAATATGCTCTGAAACATGTTCATTCAAGAAATAAAAGATCTCCATAGTAAGACTGACTTTGTTCTCTATAAAAGAGAGAAAACAAGAGTTTACATTATGAAAGGCTCCTTAGAATGTGTAAAAATTACAGAGTTTGACATAATACCTTCCTGAATGTTTATATCGGTATAACTTCATGTTGCCATCTACATGACAGGAGTGTTGGTTGGATGAGCAACTAGGACAAAACATCCACTCTTTTCCCTGGGCTTTTTCCACCTCATAATTAAAATATTTCCATTCTCGAAAGGCTTTTGTGAACGTTCGTGGATTTATTGATCCAAACTAAAAATTGAAAGAAAGTAGAAATCACATAGAAAAAATTGTAGACTTTTGCCACACATACATATACATTTTTCATGAATTTGGATGTTTTCCATAACACTAGTGACAATGGTAATTGCTTTACACAAAAAACTATGTACAATGCTGAGAGTTTACACTTAGTAATGTGGCACACACAAAGTATTTATGTACGCACCCTTCCTTTGAAACACTTATGTCTTCCAATGATTTAATAAAACTGGACTCAGAACAACCTGGCATTCTCTTTGCATTGTGTTCCACAGCAGAAGTAAATCCTGTGAAAATAACACATTTAAAGACTTTGGATTTGCTGGCCAGTAGCCATTACCAAGAATATCTGCAAGTGTCGGCATCAAGAATGCTGAACAAGAAACACACTTGAATGATGTACTGTTTATGTCAAAGCGACCTAACAATAGAAAAGATTAATAAACATGATAACTAAAAAGACATTATGTACATAGGATGGCAGTTTACTGTATACATGTAACTATTACAGTATGTAAGAAGAATACTACAGTAAATTAATGAGTAAATTATATAGTAGTCCTTCACAACACTGATGAAGAAGAAAATCAAAAATGTTTAAAGATTAATGTCAACAGTTGTCGGTTCAATAAGATTACATTTTATTGGAGCAAACACAAAATTTTGCATGTTCAACATTGCAAGTATAAAATACTTTGTACATTACCTTGTGTTGTACAAATAGTCAGCATGTCCTTACTGGGCACGGAGTGAAAGGTTGATTTTCTAGAGCAGCCATGACAAAACTTTTGGACAGGATGCAAAGAAACATAGCAATCTAAGAAACAAATATAATAAATTTTCATCATTAGACTGGGAGATAAAACCTTTTTTTGTATAAATAATAGAATTATATCACCCCAAATTATATACCTATAAGTAGCTACATATGTAGGTTGATTTTGACATCAGTTAGCATAGTGCATATGACATTTAACATACTTTTACCATATTTACATGACATACCAACTTCAATTATTTGTCCATTTTATCCAATGAATGTGATGGCTGAAGTGGTCTGAAATGATTACCCATCCACCCATGTCTATCATGGAATGGCTTTCTTTCATGAATTTTCCTATCACATTCAACACAGACTGGCCAGTTACTACCACACTGAGGACACTTTATCAAGCCTGGAGATTCCCCACAATTGAAGCATGGTGTGCCTTTATCAACTGATTCACATTGGATCAAGGTTTCGAATATGGTAGATCTATTATTTTCCCAAAGAGAATGAAGCTCTTCCATGCGATCAGACCATTTCTTGGCATCCTCTTTCTCTGAAGCCAAAAGTCCTCTGCATTCAAATATAAGATTCTCTAGCTCTACAAAACAATAATGACTTATATTATAAAAAATTTAACCAGTAAAGAAATTAAAAATTGTTAGCTGAGTGAACTTGTTGTGGACAATTTCTGATTAAATGAGACGGTATATGATCTAAGACAATTTCAAATAAAGGTGCTCAATATCAAAGTGGATAGAGCTACATACATGCATTTCAACAAATTATTGCAATTATTGATTTCAAATGCAATTATTAGTTTTACCAAAAGCATTTCAAGCATGAGCAATCATTAGACAAATCTATTACATTTAACTTAATATTATACATATACATTGATGCTTACCAATATCAACGTCTGTTTGCTTGTGCTCATCATTTACTTGAAAGTCATCAGCCACAGAGCTATCATACTGCTGGTTATCTAATATAAATTTACAATGCAATTTCTTATACAGTACCTAACTTAAACAACATTGACCTGTAACAGTTTTAGGTACAACCATGCATGGTAATGTAATGACAGTTTACTCAGTTGTCTTTCTGCTTACCCATAAGAAACTAAATAGTCAAATCTGCTAAGGACACTGGACAAAATTGTTTGAGCCATATATGATTTAAAGCAGCAAAATTGTACAGTCATTTTCAAGTACAAAATTTCATAGCATGATGTAGTTACACATGCATACTACATATCATTTAGCATAAAATTGCAAACAAGAACAACAATCTCAACATACTACTGAAGATAGTAAATTTTAATATAAATACTAAATATTAACATTACCATTTTGCTTAATTGATCCTTGACGGCAGCGGTGGGTCAACCTCTTACAACCAACTTGCACTAAGCGAAAATGAGAAGGCTTTTTCCCCGACATTTTGATCCTTTTCTTTCGCCAACAAGGCTAAACCATCATTCAGAACTTTCTCCAGAGTCTCGGATTTCTTCTTTTACACGCTGTATATCAAGGTAGAATAAATAATAGCTTAATTGTAGTTAAAATTTGCCTAATTTAATACACAATGATTCCATTCCTTTTGAACAGCAATATCTATAATATGGTGAATTCTTACGTTTTAGTCGTTTTTCCGCCATGTTAACTTTTTGCGGGTGCGCAAAACGTATTGAATTTGGATAGTTACGGAGTTTCCCTTGGATTGATGATTATTATCTATTTAAGCCGTTTTGTCAATTGATGCTATTCATCTATTTAAGCCTGAGACTGTGTTGAATACGAGTATAGAAAATATCAAAACTATTTATTTTCCTAACATAAACACTTTTTTAAAATTTTATTTATTAAATTGCCAACTTCTGTGGTTTGCGGATGCTGAAATAGCGACAGAAAAGGGAACATTTCTTGACTCCGGTAAGTAGCACAGTATTAGTTTTACTGTTTTGTTTTTAACACGATACTTAAAGTGTGTTTCTACTACTAAGTTTTAATTGTCTTGTTTGTTCTTCACTTAATCGCTCACCAGACGTGGCGAAGCTGTCAATTTTTATCGAGTTTTGCATCCATTATGGATCATGATCAAGGCATCAAGCTAAACTCTCCTGATTTGAATTGAGTTTACCTCCCAAAAATGGGGCATAATTTGTTCATGTTTTTTTTTTAAAAGATTAAGGGAAAGTTTACAACAGAGTTGTGTTGAAATTGAATGCAGTGCCATGCAAAATTAATGAGAACTATGGTATATGTTGTATAATAAAAATAACTATTAAACTGTTTGCCTGCTCAATTTGACTGACTGTATGGTGTAGACAATTATAATGAGATTGGAAAGTTGGATTTATGCAAACAATTTTAAAGTACTACTTAGCGTTTCTGTAAATGAAGTATTTATTGTTATAGTAAACAGGTTAATACTTCAAAACCAAGATGAAAGTAGTGTGTTGAACAAAGTGCAAAGATTTGTTTCTACCTTGAAATTTTTGTTCAACAGTAGCTTATGATTATATCATTAATATGCATGAAAAAGTTAACATTATTGTCTCATCTCATTAAATCCATACTTGGTATGATTCCAGGTGATCCACAAATTCACATCAGATGCATTGGTTACAATGAAGTTGAATGTAGAAGAAGCAAAAATAGATGGCAAAGAAATTCTTTGTGTCTTATGAAGAAATGGTAGAAATCAATAAAAAGAATTCTTTAAACAAATTGTAAACAAATTTAAATTTGCTCATGGTCAAGCAACCTAGTCAAAGAAGGAAAGTCTGTCTTCAACATGTGACCTTTCCAATTATTTAGTTTCTTTGTACAAAATACTATTTTTGAGAAACTTGATTTGTAAGTCTTTCATTAATATTTTTTTACCAAGAGATAAAAGGAACTAATTCAAAGGCTTGATGTAAAATACAAAGATTTATCAAGTTGTTTATCATTTAATTCCCAAATGTTAGTTTGTACATATAAATAATTAGTATTGGTAGCTGTAAGTTGTTTAAGCAAAACAGAAGAGTAGTAGTGCTTGAAGGGGTTAGCATTTTTGAAAAATTATATCTTGTTCATGACATATATTACACAATTCCAAAAAACTGTAAGTAATGCACAATAATATCTATAGAACTTGATAAATTTCTTCACCTACACTGTCAAATAACTATTTTGCCTTCATGCAGCAATAGACAGTGTTTTTGTCAGAGAAACCAATGCACTTTAGTTTCCAAGTTTGTAATTTCAATGGAAAATGAATGTAGTTCTGTTCAGTAATAGATCCAAGATTCTGCCAAGCTGTTTACAAAATACAAATTACCAAGCAACAGTGTCATGGTGTTTTGAATTTTTTTCTTTTTTATAGCTCTTCTAGTTCAACATACTTTCTTTATGAGTTTTCAGTAGATTTATCAGGTAATGACAATAAGATACTTATCCATGGTAAACTTTCAGTTGACTTATGTCGTAGGACTGAAGCAAACATTTTCTCGCTTCCTTAGGAGCATTTTTACACAGATTTATCCATTTGAAGCAAGAAAAATAGGTGCACCAAACTGTTTACAAACAGTCAAACACACAAAAGCATGAAATAATGTATAAGTTTGACGAGGTTGACAGGTCTAGTAAAGAATGCCGTTTGATTTTCACTTTTAAAACGCTAAAATGTCATAAAATAACTTAAGTGTTACATCCAAAATATGCGTTTCTCTACCGTCAATCTTCTTCATTTTGACGTGTGTCTGTACTGTGTTTTTCACGCAATGCTGAAGCATTATTTTCACATGATATGCTGTCGGTATCGTAATTGTTTGGTTTTTTTTCTCACTTGTTTTCGTTCATACAAACAGTATTAGAAATCAGGAGGGAGTGAATATTGCAAAAAATTTTTAAAGTGGAAGTTTTGACCACCAAAATCCACCATTACCGCCATGTTTTTGACCACGGGGTCCAGGCCCCTTTGCCCCTCCAGGTTTATAAAGATCAATGTCCAGAACCCTCTATTTGTAATACTAATAGAGGGCTGTGACCACTGATCTGATAATAGACTGGATATAGCTTCTATAGGAAGCAAAAGTGAAGCCTAATTATATATGCAAAATGCACTTCCGGGTACCACAAGAAACACAAATTACAAAAGAAATGTATGGCGGATAACGTCTACATACAAGGATTTTCGAATATTTAAGGCATTTCGTGACCTTTTACTAATCTCAAACATCTGTCATGGATAAAAAAAGTTATGTTAATCAATTTGACATCAAAATGATTCCGATATCTGCAAAATATTGGCGTTCGTTTTCAATTGAAAGTTGGGCTTGCAAGAATCGAAGATCTAGAATGATCTAGAATGAGTTTCGATGCTTAAAAAATTCGTTTAGTACCTTTCTTTTATCATTCTTTATTATCTAGACATTGTTTTATGTAACTTTTGCCGTGACTTCATTAGCTGGGTACTGTTGTTGTAGGAAGAAGACAAATTTACTAAGCTTTCATCCTCTCTTCATTCTTATTTTCAATTCTGTTTGAGCAAAGAAACAATAAATTCAAAACTCTCAATGTTCCGAAAATGGGCTTGTGCATCACTGGTTGCATCTTTGAACTCATTGTTGCTACCACCAAACTGCATGTAATGCAATGCATTGTAAATCACAGCATATGCATCCAGAAAACCATCAAGAGATTTTACTCGCTCTACCCAACGAGTTGTGGATGGCGACTTCAACTTTTTGAATTTCAAGCCGTATTCCATTATTATTTCGCTAAAATACTGTAAACGTTTTGGAGAGCTGCTGAAGAAGGACGTTATCTTTTGAGCTTGACCCAACATGTTTTTTACTGGCTAAAGTGAGCAAGCTTTGGCAACAACCAAGTTTAGCCGATGACTGGAACAATGAACATATAGTGCCTTCGGATTCTTCTCAAGTATACGACGACATACGCCCTTTCTTAAACTGAACATTGCACTAGCTCCATCGTATCCCTGACCTCTACAATTTATAAGAGGGAGCCCAACGTTGTTTAATGTTTGTTCGATATTTTGGGCCAAAGCAAGACCAGTCGTCCCATTTTTGCAGTCATTAAAGCAAATGAATCGTTCGTTAACATGTTTGTTCTGATCAACATAGCGTAGAACAATGGGCATTTGCTCTTAATTTCCACACTCTGCTGCTTCGTCAGCCAGAACTGAGTAAATGAGAAGATCACTGTCGTTAATGGCAGAAACAATCTTGTCAGAAATTTGCTTCCCACAAATGGTGACAAGTTTGTTTTGAATGATCTTGGAACAATAGGTTGCAGTCTTCTTAGCCAGTTTAAAATGTTCCGCCAGTACTTTGTCTCCACTAGAGATTCTGTAATCAAGGAGGGCTTGAAAATTTCCCGGATTACTTCATGAATAATGGCTAGAATCCTCACGGTGACCTCTTAAAGCTAGATTTTGCCTGCCACATAAAATAACTGTCTCAACCATAGCACGCAGAATACATCGACTGTACTTGATCCTTATGCTGAGGAGACTATCAGCTTGCTCATTTATACCATCAGCCTTTCCAAGCATTACTTCTTCAAAACAAGATGCACGCAGAACAGAGTCTCGGTGAACGGAAGATGCTCTGTCGTGATCTTCAAGTCTTTTCCCCGCGTTCTGCCAAATGGTCAACGGTTCTTTCAAAAGATTGGTGAGTTTGTTACCATTGTGACCAGTCTCTTTTCCAAACAGTACACATGGCAGACAAAATGCACCATCATAGAGTTTAGAATAGCACAGCCATTTCCATTGATGGAGCCACTGTTGCAAGAACTTACGACGCTTTGATTTTACAGAGCCAAACTCACGAAAAGGAAAAACAAAAGATGGCGGAGGCTTCCAATGATGTTGTAAAAGATTGAACTTCGTGTCATCATCAATATTTGCCAGACCAACAAAATTGCCAATATGTAATGGATCAACTTCACTGACATCAAGCCTTTTCTTCTTATGCGATTCAGTTTGAGCTTCCATCAAAATACGATCGCGTTTAAATGTGCCTAAACATGAAGTTCGAGGTGGGCTAACACAACAAGACTGTTCCGCATCATTGATATTTGCACTTGATGAAGAAGTCAAACTGTTTTGGGAGCCACTTGTGAAAACATCAGTGATTTTGACTTGCTTTTTCGGAGCCTTTGATTTTATTAATTCCTCCACGGATTCTTTTAAATAAAATAGTATCAAAGGCACAAAATGATTTGCTTTGAAAGACGTTTCCAGTCCTGGCAGAGAAGATGCACCATATGCTGACCAAAGAAAGACCAGTTCTTGTGTACAAATAAAGAATGCTCAACTCGAGGAAGAATCTGACCATTCAAAAATTTTGCATATTTGCTTGTCTCTCCCAGGGTGTCAGGGTAAACTGAGCGTACTTTCATACCAGTAACAGATGAACGAGAAAACATGCATAGCAACGAGGAGTAGCAACAGTTACTTGCAATTCTTATAGCTTCGGGAGTAACAACCTGTGATCGAGAGGTTTTATCATGTCGGTCATAACTATCACCCAGTGCAATACCAGATGCTGTTGCAGAGAAAACTATGTTATCACTCTCAAACACATCAGCTTTTTCCTTTAAATATGGATGGAATGAATAAAACTGTGGGTAGCTGAACAGTTCAATGCTTGTGAGACCACGCAACAAAGACTGCAAGTCTTCCTTACCAGACAGCACCTTAGAGCACGCTCTATATAAGCAGTTACCATCACCTCTAGTTCTACACAAGCAATAAAAATAAGAAAGCCTATTGAATAAAATCACTATTGACTCTATGTTGATAAAGAAAAGCCTTTTAGGGGAACATTCATCAAGCCTTAAAGTGTAATTTTTTGGGTTGCCTTTAACAATCCATAAATATTTTTTTAGATAATTGAATCTAAGCATGGTAATGCCAGTGATATACTTTCCCAACCAAATTCATGAGACCAGCTTTCAAGAGGAGTATAAGTACGTACCTAATAGCTAATACTATGTGCCCTCCTAACTTTAATCAAAGTGCAATGGTGAGGACTCCTATACATAAGGATCAGGATGCACATATGCACATATGCAAAAATAAAATATGGTGATGTAATATACAATGAAATATGTTAAAGTATTACAATATAGAACTGTTGCTCTAATATCTTTATGTATAGTGGGTATTTTTGAGATCATAATAATCATGTAAATACCATACAGTAACATAATATCTATGTAAATGAAATGCTTTGCTGTGTACCCACCCTTTTCTGATCATAATGTTTTAGGGTAAATTTAGAAATTTGGCACACTGTGCATGATTGTAAATGAGAGCATACACTCAAAAAAACATCATCTTGTAAACTCAAGATTGTAGTTATAACAGCAACAGAGAAGATTCAAAGAAATATTTCAACTTCATATGAAAGTCATTATCAAGCTAAGTGTGGAAGAAATAATGAGGAATTGTTGTGGCTGAAATAATATGTAATTACAGTTTTCTTTGCTAAATTTTAGGAAATTGACAATATTAGGCATGCAATATGAAAATGAAAAACTCTAATGAATAACATGGTTGGTCCAGCATAGCTCTTACATTCAACACATTGCATAGCTTAGAAAGTTAGTATTTATAAACAAGCAAAATGTATGAAAAATGTGCCCTCTCTGTTTGGCACATTGAGCACATATTACAAAATATTACATGGAATATTTATATATCTATAAAATATCTTGAAGTAATCTAATATTAAATTATTAGCTCTTATATTTTTATGTATATTAAGTAACTTTGAAATCACAATATCCATGTGAGCACAAGTAGAGTGGTGATTTCTCCAGGAAGTACGTAGAGACTTCTACCAGTTACTTTAATCCAAAGAAATCTCCACTATAAATATGCAGGATTACCCAAATTCAAACATATAGTTGTGAATAAAATGTTTTGTGATCTTATGTTATATGACACTTTATAAACTTGGCACAACAACATGCATAATTATGTGCACACTAGTTATGGCATAAATCCAAAGCATTGCATTATACTACTGGCTAAATTTCATTGAGCCAACAATATTGGACATGGAGTTTGAAAATTGACATTGTAAAATAGAATACAGTAAATTTTGATTTAATAGGTTAATTCAGGTCAGGATGCTTTGAAATTTAAATAAATTCGACAGGGAATAAACACCCCATGTGCCCCTTCCCATCATATTCCTAACATTAAAAAGAGTAAGCCATAAGCATTACATAAATACAAGTATAGACCTATAGCTATGCATTACAATGACAAGCATAGTAAGCAGTAAGCACTTCAAGCTACTTACTTTAAAGGCCGCCAATTATCTCCCATATGCTTAGGGTTAAGCAACTCTGCGTTAAGATCTCTCGCCAGCTTTCCTTTTCGAAACAGGTCTGTTTTAGTCGGAATGGCAGCAGAGACTTTTGCTTCATAATCCTTTCTTACAGAAGAAATCTCGCTGGTTTTACTGTCTTGAATCAATGAGCCAAGATCGTATATATGCCTACTTTCAGCCATGATGACTTTAAGATATAAATAATCCAAATGCCATAGTCATGTAATTATAATTTTGAAGGTTTGAAGATTTATAACGCTGGCTCAAGTGCATCAGTCAGAATAATTGAGTTCTATAATAACTAGAGCGGCTATCTCAAGCATTGAGTTCTATAATAACTGGAGGGGAAACGTCAACAAAATTAGTATAAATTATTAGCGCGCGGCCGCGTGGTCAAAAACATGGCGGTAATGGCGGATTTTGGTGGTCAAAACTTCCACTTTGAAAATGTTTTTCAATAATCACTCCCTCCTGATTTATATGTTTTTACGAAAACATGGCGTTGAAGTATCACGGCACATGTAGATTGATATTACGAATAAAATTCAAGGTAAGAAACTTTGAATATTTTTGATAGAAATCAGTAAAGTTGTTTTAAATTTTGAGATGTAATCGTGTCTGTTATATAGCTGGTGATTAAAACCTGCGAAAATCTAAGATGTCAATATTTAACGTTTTTTAAAAACACCAATACTCACCTTAACTACAAATGTTGGTAAATATTTTCTTTTAACTGCCTTTCATGATTAAATTGATTGGTCATAATTTAAAATTTGGGCAAATACCTATTATCAAACGGCTCATGACATGTTTTTATAAAATGAAACCATTTAAAGATGGATTTCAAAATGGCAAATACCATGGTGAATGGTGATAATAACATTGTAATAGTTCTTAAAAGAACTGTTTTAACCAGAACACTAACCCAACAATTCGAAGGAATCGTTATTTACAGCTAGAAAGAGGCACTATGCATTTCGGCAGACTACTCGTAAATAAAACCATTGTTCTCACGATATAACTTACTTTAAGTGCGAGCACTGTAGTGAAGTATAATGCAAACAAAAAACAGGTGCCTTTAATGGATATTAGCCTCAAGTGAACCAATAAACTTACTCTAAACTTAAATTTTTTTTAGATTTATTAAGTGAATAAGATTTACATTCGATATATGGGTTGTCTGTATACAACTATTTAGTGAAATTTATGAATTTCTGCAAAAAGGTAAAAGCAATCCATATAATAATATGTATGTATTAAATGTTGTGTCAATGTTGGTCTGTATCTTATTATAACAGGGTGCTGTTAAAGCAGTTGTACCAAGTATAATCAAAGGAAATTGAAAAAGAAAATGAACTTGCCAAGGTAGAAATGAATCCAATATATATTAAAAGAAATATGTAAAATTATAAATAAAATAAATTGTAATATCCAATAAAATATAATAAGGAAATATAGTAATAACACAATGAACACAATTAACGTTGTTTTTTAATAAACTACATTAATTTGCCTTTAAATTGGCAATTTTTGAAAACATTTGTCACTCTTCTTCGAGTTGACGAAATTTTTCTGGCTAAAATAGGGCATGTTTGTTTAACATGCCCTTTCTTTTTGCAATATCGACACATCATTCCTAAAAAATATTAATGTTTCAGATTGTTATATTAACAACAAGAGTCTATACTACAAAAATGTGAACCTACTTGCTCTGCATTCAGTTATGTGGTGGCCAAAAAGACCACACTTCTGACATCTGCCTATGGAAATTGAAAAAATTGTAATTCTTACAACAAAGTATTTAACAAATTATGATATTATGTACCATACCATGAAATTTTTTTCTTCTATCTGTAATGTAACAAAGGTAATACAATGTTAAAATATTATTAATCAAGTAGGGTCATAAAAAATTTTTATATTTCAAAACATTTTAAACATATTCAGTAGAAAAATATTAATGTCATACTTTGGGATGGACCACCACCAGTCCCCACCACACTTGTAGTGCTTTCCTCTTCATGTGCTGCAATTGGAAAATATTGTCTATTAAAATATAAGTTATTACAACAAAGTCTTTAATGAATTGCAATATAAAGTAAATGGTTTGAACCAGGGAGTATCGTTACATGTTTGTAAATGTAGATCGTCCAGGTTGGTATAGTCCTGAGAAGGACTGTTTTTGTTGTTGTTGACTGATGTTTCGACAACCTTAGTGGTCATCTTCAGAGTCAAATGACTCTGAAGATGTAGGTTAAAATATTCAGTATATATTCAGTAAATATTCAGTAAATCAATTAGGGTTAAAATATTCAGTAGAAAAAGATTAAAGTCATACTTTGGGATGGACCACCACCAGTCCCCACCACACTTGTTGTGCCTTCCTCTTCATGTGCTGCAATTGAAAAGTATTGTCTATTAAAATATAAGTTATTACAACAAAGTCTTTAATGAATTGCAATATATTACATCATACCATTAAATTTGTTTCTTCTATCTGTAAAATAATAAAGTATTACAATAATATAAATCAAGTAGGATTAAAAATATTCTGTAGAAAACGATTAAAGTCATACTTTTGGATGGACCACCACCAGTTCCCACCACACTTGTAGTGCTCTCTTCATATGCTGCAATTGGAAAATATTATCTATTGCAGACTTCAAATGTATTTGAATGTTTTCACTGTAAAACCTAACATTTCAAAAATATAATAAGTATTTTACAGTTTGCAGGACAGAATAGGGTTGTCATTCTTATTTCTTTGTTGTTTATTTATATTTCATTTCCAATTTCAATATGATTGTACTGGCACTACTGGAAGTTTTTTTAGTGGTATGAGAATTGGTAGAGATACCATAGGATGACCACATGACTTTTTCTTTTTGTGGTCTCTTTTGTTGGTCTGTAGCATCATCAACTTCTGCAAGTATATTAAGTGTAAGAACAACAAATAGTTAAACTGAAAATATAACTCACAAAACATACCCATTACACGTTCGTTTTCTTTTCTTCTGCCACTATACAAAGAGATTAAGTAATTTCTTTGTATAAGTTTATGTTTAACATTAGTATTTGAACATATGATTTATAAACAAAACAGTAGCATGAATGCTTACTTCTCTTTTATTTTAACTGTGTTTGCGAGACTAAAAAACAAGCAACACCGATGTTGAACATAAAAATAAGTTGCCCGAAAAAACGCGCTTTTTGTGTTAAATATAATACAGCACCGATATATTTCGACTAAATATGTGAATTACAGAAAAGCATTGTAAAAGCGATAATGACAAGGATAAAAAAGGCAATAGTAAAAAAATCGACTTACCAAAACAAAGACTTGTCAAATTTCAAAAACGACTCTTTAAATTTTCCCGCCTCCAAGACCAAGAGTAATTTAAAGTCGTGGTCTCCACGCGTGTATATCTCGAGAATGCAGAAACACATGCCAGCATAAAAAAATAAAACTCAAATTAATTTTTAGCAAAATAACCTTTTGAATATTAGAGAACATGGATTAACTTACTTGGTAACGGTAAATAACTTTAAAGATGCATTATCGCAGTTACTTTTGCATTCTATATGCTAAGACGCTTAGTGTACGAAAGACATATGGAATTATTATGTCTTGTAACAGGCGTATGGGACCTAGAAAGCACAAATGTGCCCAGTAACACATAAAGCCATGGGACCCACAAATGTGCCCAGTAACACCCATGTAACGTAAAGCCATGGGACCTAGAAAGCACAAATGTGCCCAGTAACACCCATGTAACACGCACGTGAACATAACTAATACGTTCACACGAGTAATTGTTTTAAATTCTACTGATGTTTGAACAATACTAGTTTGCTCAGTTTTTTTCTGATTTTATTTCCTTGAATTTTATGGTTCTCTGTCTTACACAGATGATGCATTCTTATCTTCACGAAAGCGTCACTACAACATTTAATCAACTTTAAGATATGATCTTCTGTAACAACAGAATCATGTACATGCTGGTTCAATGAACTAAAAACGTTTCTCTCCACACATTCAGTTAAAACAGTGTTGGATATTGCACCTGTGATATGCGAACAATGTGGCAAACTTCCGTTGCAAGAATTAATCATTCGCATAACGCATTTCTCGGTCTCATGACACACTTTTAGAAGATCATCTGTTGGTATTTTTAGGCCACCATGAGTCTTCCAAGACACAAAGAGGTCTGGAGCCCTGTTTTTCGATGTATGCAAAGCAGCAATACAATCTTCGCAAGTGATCTTTCTTGCAACCATTTTAACAACATAGCCAGCAATGTAAGATATAGCTGCTTCCTTATACTCAGACAAAGCAATGAAGTTGGGCACGTCACAATAGTCATGCTCTTCTTCAATTGGTTTTCGCAACTTCATATCATATCGTCTTGCCGTTGTCACATCAGAAATATCTGCCATTATTTCATTTGTCTCGCAACGATCATTTACTTTTGTCAAGATTTCAGTGCTATCTTGAGCAATACAGTTTCCATGTCCTCCTTTGATGTTATGTCTCATCAATAGTTGCTTGTATGCAGCTTTAAACTGACGTGGTGTTGGATTGTTATTCCATCCACCCGCCGCTCGTACAGCTGAAAAGAAAAGCTCTAAGTGATCTTGACTCATTTTGTACGTCAACAAATACCTGAGAACTGGTTTCTCCGAAACAACGAGTTCCTCTGTTAATTCCTTAACGGCCTCAATGCACATGAGGAATCCGAGAAATCCAGTTTTTTTCTTATGCAAGAGAATTGACTTGCCATCAGCAGTCTTCAATTCTCTTATGTAATCTACAGCTTGATTTAAAAAATCCTTTATGTACGTATAATTGCACATTCTAATTGGTGCCTTGTAGTTCTTAGCTATGGGATTTCTAGAGTTAAGAACATCAAACAAGCGATCAAATATACGAATAAAGTGCACAGTTGCACCGCATCCTTTAAACTGTTGAAGTTTTAACATACCTTCACAATATTCTAATGCATCAGCTACACTAGAACTGAGTGCTTGCACAGCTAGATTGACTTTCATTTTTTGTGAATGCCAATGAATATGACAGGAGCGAAGCTTGTTTGCTAAGCGCAAACCCTCTGACTCCTGCAGCTCAACTAGTTTAATCAAATAATCCCACCTTATCAGGTTATTGTTTGCATCCTTCAATTCTCCCAATTGGGTCAATGCACCTCTCACCAATTTGATCATGTGACATACATCTAAAAAGTATAAATTTTAAACGTGAATCACATGGATGCAAAAGTATGCTTGAAAATTATCTGGAGAGAGTTTTGCTCCAAGAATCTTCATCATTGTTTGATGAGAAGATGGACCATTAGCAGTTAAGCTGGTGACTCTAACACCAACATCATGTAGTCTGGCAATACATTCTCTAGACAGGTCAGCTTTCATCTGTCCAGAAATGCCATCAGTTAGAAAGTAACCAACAGGAACTTTCCACGAAGAATCAAGAGCAACAGCCATATATACTAAGGCTTCTGTTGCTTCAGGCAGTGAGTCGTCATCATTTATGCCAGTTCCCATGTCAACAAAGCCAAAGACTTTGTCTCCATCAAACTCAACATGTTTGCGAATTGCCATTTCATCCAACATTAAGGCACATAGAAGGTATTCTCCTTTCTTTTTAGCTTCTTCAGCCTTAAATTTCAGTGCAACAAATGCATCTCGAGTGAATCCTGGATCACCATCAATTGGATTATACCAAGTGCGGATTGTTCTTGGATGAGGCAATGCTAAATTAAACTTTTCACGTACATAGTCATAAGCTTTCCTGGAATAAAATTTCAATGTAAGAGCAAATGATCTTAGCTCAGGGGGGTAGGAAACACGTGTTTTATCTTCATGTGTTAACCTATTAAATATATCCCTTGACACTCCTGAAAGGGTATTGTTAAGAATTTCAGCCTGATCAACATTAACAAAACCTTCCTCTGTTAAACTTGAAACAACAGAAGACATATCATTGACTTTCATTCTCAGTCTACCATTTTGCATCCTGCTGTTCTTAAGTTTTTTCTTAAGTGACTCAGCTTTCTCAATGACCTCCTCTAACTGACGCTTCAGTCTATAAGGAGATTGACAACTGTATGTATGATCATGCAATAAACAGTTCAAATTTATCACCTGATTATCATGTTCTTCAATAGTACAGTCATTCTGGGTCAAATTTATTTGATTATCATCCATGACTAAATCTGGCATGGGCACCAGGCTTTTTTCAAATTCAACCCCTTCACTTAAAATATATTTTCCAATACATACTTCATTCACAGGAATATTGAGTTGTGTTTCTATATAACTAGCAGCATCTAGTAAACCTTTAGCCCCTTCATCACTGTAGTCTATATTCTGTCAAATTGTACAAAAACAAAAAGCTTTAAGGACACATTATAAATTTAGATACTTCTATTGTATGATACATACCACAGCATTTTTGAATATAGTTGGCACCGCATTCAGTTTTAACACAACTCTATTCCCGACTGTTTCCTTCATATGGTCAGA